GACAATCAAATGAAAAACGTCTGCGTAAGGGATAATTAAGGAATATGTGTTTGATGTGTGCGTTGTCGTAACACGACAGCCAGGAAATGCCATAACCCATCTTGTTAAATCTAGATGACCATTTACTAAGGTAGAAGAGTCAGTTATTCCTTTCATTCGAAATATAACATGACAGATTGGCTTATTTATTGTTGGTGGCTGCTAACTAAAAATCCTCTTTGATGTTATCTGATTGATGCACTTTATCTAGGGGTTTCCTGAATTTTATAAATGTGTTCTTCTTTTTAAGTAGCCCCTTACAAACTATTAGACTAGAAATGTCTGGCTTAGTGTGTGGTCACCGCACAAAAGAGTTGGATGCTGTGTAATGAAACCAGTTTATAAGCTTATAAAACTGATTAAATCATCCCTTATCTGTGAATTTGATGTTATACCCGAATTTATTGATAAGAACAAACTTTAATCAAGTATAAACGAGGCATTTGCTTAAGATAATCTCTGGCTTGACTTTAGAATGCAAGTGAAATGCTAAACGAAAACAAGCGGCAAGTTAGTGCTTACAATGTGAAATAATTATGTGGTACCTGGTTTTAGAAAATCACCTTTCAAGCATATTTGCAGCACTTCCACAATTGCGTAACCATGGTGATGTCAGGGGTAGTAGGCCTCAGCAGATACAATACAGTTGACCACATTTGTTATTTGCATAATTTGACACAGAATTCTCCCATCTAAGCAACAATAAAGGAAGCTCTTCAACTCCACTCCTGTCTGCCAAACAGGCGAGGCGTAGGCGATAGTACCAGAAGGTTTCCTTTGCAAACCCTCCTAACGTATAAGTCACCTTCACTCGCCTTGGGCGTGGAAAACAGCTAAGTGATTTGGCCATTAACCGAAGAAGTGCAGCGACGAAGAAGAAGAAGAAAGGGTATTAAAGGGGAATCGAAATTGCTCATTAGGAGTGCACACTTTCACTTTTCTCGCCCATCAGCGACACTCTAAAACCCATGTATTTAGTGATGAGGCAGGATATAAATTAGTGCTTATGGATAAAATTACTGCTCGCTGGCAGCATTCATGCCCTAAGAATCTACCGTTAAAATAGGTGATTAAGAATTCCACATAGAGATTACATGTTCTTGTTGATTTTGTGTGGAGGAAGAGTAGGATGAGGAAGTACTGCGTCGCTATTTGACGGCAAAATAGAAAAAGTCAGCTAGCAGCTGAGTAGAAAACAGGACAGTTTAACGTGTGTGGGAGCTGAAGAGTTGTTGAGAATTAGGTCAACAGTCCACTTGGTTTGCAACGTCCAAAGTTATTCATTTTTAAAAGGGGGTATAAAACTTGTGTTTTAAGAGCTAGCTTCATTCATCTAGGTAACGGGAGCTTATCAGAGATAAGCTTTCAAATATAACTTTGCACTTAACACAATATCCACAATATTTATCATACAAGTATAACGATTTGATGTCGATTTCCAACACAACCCAACATTGCAATTGTACTTGTTGTTTTTAATTAATGGATAGATTACAATTTTAATTTACAGGAGTACAATTTGCGGTTGAGGAACAAAAAGTAACTAAATCACCAGCAATGCATATTGTTGCATGCCATCTATTCAATAAGAGAAATTAGAAATTCAAAAATCAATGTTAAAAGATCAAAACGCCTATTAGAGCTATTGACGGCGACAGCTTACTGACAGCAAACACCAATAAAGCGAATTTCATGAAATCACCAAGGATTGTTGTTAAGTTATTTAGGAGTAACAGACCATTTAAAGTAATTAGTTTTGCAAAAATGTGAAAACAAGTTCTCTTGATCTCAAAATTTTAATTGACAATCAACGTTTTTTTAAATACCTTATCAAAACTAAGTCTTTTGACAAATTGTTTGCTTTGGATTAAGGCGCTCACTGCGACAGCTTCTGACGGAACATCACAAATGCTACAATGAGATGACACCTAACACTTTTGGGTTTTTCGTGGGACCTGCAATTCAAAAGCAGCATTCGCCAGAGCATTAACGTGTGGAAAGTGTGCGTCCTCTTACACAACGTGACTCGCGACCGCTATCTGCTTTCGAAAGATATTCATTGTGCCAGCTAGGTGCTGTCTAGACGCGTCAGTATGCACCCCCGGGTCCATGACTCGGCGTGTGCTTTGTTACCACAGGGCATTCGAATGCTTCACGTGCTTATTCAAGCGCTCTAAGATTTTGTTAAGGATCCAGGGTTCCCCAACACTTCTCGTCGTTGCTCTTGCCATTCTCCTAAACACGCCTACATACTGACAGCTGATCAGTACCAAATCACCTGAATCCATTAGGTCAAGGTCATTTCCGACCTAAATAAGTGGACACACTTTGACGGATTACTCGGCCTTTGGCTCAGACATTAAAAACTCTGCACGAGGTTCTACTTTGTCTTACATTCGCATGGGAAGATCGGGTCTGGCATCAGACAGGGGAGCTATGTTACCGGTCATCTGAGTGCGTGGTTCTGGTTATGGACAGAATGTAACAGATTTGTATGATATTGTGTGCATTGTGGTAGAGTGGTAAATGAGACATTTTAGTTATAATTAGCTTTAAAGTTCAGATTGCTAAGATTACAGGCAGACAAAAGTCCAAGCCCTTAATTCATCGATGTTGTAGAGGGCCCCGGCATGTTGTCTTGAACCACGCCGGGGCCACTGCGACAATCTAGGCCGAATACGTTACCCTATGTTCCCACGAAAATAAAGAAGACCGGAGTGGGAGAAGGCACAACCGTTTGCTAAACACCTCAACCTAGTTGTGTTGTGTACAATTACGGTTCAGTGGACATGTACAAAAATAAACGCAGGTGTCTGTGAGGTCACATGACTAAAATGGGTGATGGTGGGACATACAGAGTGGTTAATGAACCAGGGGCCTCACGTGACTGACGGACAGGTCGTGAAAAGGTGGGACGCGTGCTGGAAGCTGCGAGGACTGGGTTATTGGACCTGAATCAACACGACTCCCCACAGTGTCATCGAATCTTTCCTACATGAAGACAATCAAGATGCTCTGCGAGAATTAATCAATGGAAGTCATGTGGACACCTCGGTTTGGACCTTTAATTGAGGATATTAACTCCAATGTCCGGGTTATTTTGTTTTCAACAATTTTCGCTTCAAATGAAGAATGATTAATGATCTTGTCATCCTTTTACATTAAAGGATTCCCACACACCATGCCGAAGTCTACAAGAAGCCAGTGGCAATTTCGACAACTTTTATGTAACTTTTTTGAATAAGTTACATCTCGGTGTTTTCTGAAATTAGACAATTTTCATTCTGGTTTTATCAGTGACAATTTGTGCCGTGCATGAAATTCGGTGACGTTAAGGTATGAGTGCCTGTTTCATTAACCTCTTAAACATTCCACTTTGAATTTTTTTATTGGAAAGTAAATAGCAAAATTATGACAAACAATGGGCAATATTCCAAAACAAAAAATTTGCAAATCGAGAGAGGCTTAAGTTTGTTTTGAATAGCAGAAAAGCAAGTGAATCAGCATTTTTGCATGACGAAGCATGTCACTTAAGTGGTCATACACACTGAACAAATTGCATGCATCCTTTTATTTCAGTTACCAAAACTGATAGACTTTTTTCCAATGAGCTTTTTAATGCAATTTCTGGCTAAAATTCTACCACGCAAATCGATAGCATTGGTTGAATTTACTTTCACATCCTCTTATTCTTATAACATGAACAGCACATTTTGAAAGCCTTAGATTAGCATCTGTACCAAATTAGCCTCGTTTAGAAGTCAAGTCTTTTATCATTCTCAATAAGAGTTTTTTGTTGATTTAAGACGCTTTTTGGCTGCAAGGCTCATATTTCAACCAGGTCACCTGACGGTTAATTGAGTTTGGTGTGTTCGCAACAGCAAACTCTCATTCCTTTACACTGTCAAATAAACAAGAGATTTGTAATAACAAGTGAACTCAGGCAGTGAAAGATTGATGCATTTTGTCCTTATTCATTCTAGCTAAAAACGACATTAAGAAAGCATTATACCGTTTATCTTGGTCCATCAACAATGTTCACGTGCTTCACCAGACGATAGCTGGGCTAGATAAGTTAACATCCGATGATACTGGTGACAAAGTGAACATGGTTTTACAAGAAGGTAGAATGATAAACTGGGTAAAATGCATTTTCGTTTTGTATCGAGCATCGAGGTACGCTGGGAACACTTTAAATTGCCGTTCGTTTATAAATAACTTTTTTAGTTGCATTAACTAAAACATTTGACTGTTCGGATTCAGCGGCTGACATAAAGTGAAGTTATTTACTGAGATATTTTCTACGAAATAGGCTTTCGGCACTCAGTACGTTAATGGTACAGTGGGTAATAATCGAAAAAAACCCAAAGCCACAAAAGAAAGATGTGATTTCAGTAATCAGTATTCAAAAAACTATGGAGAAACTGAACTGCGCAGTTATTAAAAGCTATTTGTACATTGCTAGGATTCCAAAATTCTGTTTGTTTGTTTGTTAAAATAATGTCAACACATGCGCCATCTGCGATTGTCGATTTTTTGGAGTTTGAACAAATTCATACTATAGGATTTTGAGCTCGATTTATCGGTTTTGCTCAGCACCATAACGGAAAAACAATTTGAAGACTTGTTGTAACTGTCTTTCCTCCGCAAAATATACTTACCTAACAGTGAATACCCTAGCCAAGATGAACGAAGACGTTTACTTAAAAGCCGAAATCTGAATAATCAGACAATGATATCGATTAGTTGACGGTTAGGTTGATTGCCTGTGTTGGCATGCTTTTATTTGAAGTACAAATGAATTCAAGCAGTTGACAAAGTGTACAATGAGAAAGAAAAGCGATGACGCACCACAAAACCAGACAAAAACACCAACACTCTGATGACAACAAATCAATTGCTCTAAACTAAAATAAGGGGGTGGAGTAAGTTTATTCCTCTGGTGTAAGTGTTGAATGAAATTACTCTACGTGGATCCACTGGGATACTTGACACTGCGAACTTTCAGTTGCTAAGGTGGAGAGAAGCCTGGTGCCACTGTCGTTCGTTGGCTCCTCCTGTGCATTGGAGCCGAGGCAGCAACAGCCGATGGCACGAGCCCGTCTCAGCGCCAGTTGGTGCGCGGCGGTGTCTTCGAGGATGAGGACAAAGTAGGCCAAGATGCGCCAGCTGATGGGGCGCACTCCGGCCCTACTGAACGCCTCCTGTTTGTCTAGGCCCAGCGGGAAGAGAGGGGGGAAGGTGACTACTAGTTCGCTGCTGCTGAAGACGTGGTCCTTCAAAACTAGCGCGTTCGTCATGCTCGTTGAGGCTTGATGGGATTCGCTGGTGTCGACCACGCTGTCTGCGAAGTCAGTCGGCAAACGTATATTGAATCCCTTGCGAATGCATGTTGTTCTTCCATTAGTAACCAGGCAAGCTCTAAGGCGGAGTTTAGCTGTAAAAATAAAAATGAAATTTGCAACGAAATAAAACAGCAAAGAAATCATCGAAAAGTAGCGAAATACAAAAACTCTTTTTCAGATCTGTTGAAAACTAAAAGTTACGGTACTCCTGAGTGTAAAATCGCCGACTTAATTTTTACTGTCCAATAGTTTGGCCGAAAAAGGATATATTTGAAAAATAAATTGAGCTGTGATTTCGAAAGAAAGTGCCAACTAACCTCTGATTAACGGCAGGCATTTCTAGTCGACCATTGCTACCATATTCCACTGTTATGCTAAGAACGCAAGCATGTGATTGATTGTGAAAGCGTACGAAGATCTTCAGTGATCACTGGCGTCGTCTAACGTGAGTAGTTTGAGTGGTCTGCAAATTTAATCGGTACAGTAGACGAAGGCTGGTTGTTGCATTATTGCCTGTGAAAACTGACTTTAGATGACTTAATTAAGACCCGTTTCATTGTCAGACTCAGGCTATTTCACAATCCCACCACACTAGCCAAATTCAACAGGGCCACTCCTAAATCGATTGGTTAATCGGTGCGCTAAATCTCACGTGCGTAAACAATTACTTGCAAGCGAATTCCCGACTAAACTGTGACGTCGGTAACGTCTTTGGATCATCAAAGAAGTCATATGGCCTCAATCCACAGCGTCGTTCTTTGTTCGGATAATGAGGTCTATCTGGAAACTGAGACCATGGCGTATTGAACGATTGAATGTATAATAAAGGGGAATGGGAATTGACGTCAGACTCTAACGCATAACAGAGCATCGTTTGCAAGGAACATTGCTTAATTAGTTATTCCACAGGGAATGCTATTTCAGAAATACAGGGGAAGCTGTGTATATTTGTCACCTATTAATTAACACAGATACTTTCGAGTCACAATATGGTATTTATTTTACTAAAAATCACATAAAATTGCAAAAAAATGACAGCAATTTCTAGAGAACGCAGGATGCTAAATGACGGTGGCGAATTGTCCGACTTTCCTATATTTTTTTTCGGAACAGACTTGTTAAAATGGCTGTCTTCAAGTATAGCTTGAATGAAACCTTAGTGCAGTAGCTAGGTGTTGTGAGGAGTAATTCAAAAGCTAATAATAGTAATGTGAGCGGTGGTTTCGATACGTGCTCATGGGCTACTGGCCTTTAATGCTGGAAACGGAATGTTATACTCACAGAAACCTTACTCAAAGGAGGAACGCAACAGTGACCGTCTCAAACCATTAAAGTTGAAACACATTTAAGGCACTGGTGTCTCAAACTAATTTCAGAAAAGGCAGTCATTTCTGATTATAAAAAACAAATAAGGCTTAAAAATATTAAAAAATACATCTAAAACTGAAATCGGCAGCAGTTGTTAAAAACAAATGATATAAATTGAAAGTACACGTGCGCAAACGCTGAAAAAGACTGAAGAGGCCACATATCAGTGCTTTTAGATTAACCAGGCGACGCGATGGTGGAAATTCAGTGCACATTTATGAGCAAATGTTACAGAAGAAAATAAAAAAAACGGCGTTACGGGTGCTCCTGACACCTCAATGAGATAAATAACATCGTATGAAAAATGTTGAAGAGAATATCTGGTAATCAGCACTGTCTCATAGATACTTTGAGGCATTACTAGGGCATATGGCAGTAGCACGATTAGATTGAATTGCGTAGCCTTATGTCCATTTGATTCCAGCTAATGAGTCTGGCCATGCAGCCAAATACGTAAACAGCACAAAGTCAAGTGGAATAGCTAATAAATACGCGGTTGCAGATGGCAATGAGACTCAGACAACTTTTATGGAAGTGGATGCGAAGCCACAGCTTGTGCATTTAAACGAATCCTCACCTACTGCTTCTGCTATACAGTTAACTATTGCACAATAGCCTTGTTAGAATAGTGATTAATGAATAAGCCCACTTGCGTGTACTTTGGGTGCTTTGAAACTTTTTTGTTTAAATTTTTAAGTTTAAAAGTATGAGAAATTGAAGTCGCAATTTCTGCAACTAACACATGGTTTGATTGGCGAAAACATTTATACTCATTTTTAATTTTTGCTTAAAATATAGATGCGTTTATTCTTTTCCACTCAGTTTGGTACACTTAAGCGATAAAAAACATGCGCGCACTGATTTAAAGGTTGGAACTTTAAAAAAAGATGCAGTTACGATTGTTTCGTGACGTAAACGTGACTGCAAGATTATATCAGCGTTTTATTATTTGCCATACAACGCATTTCAGGGAACACAGAAACAGCCATGCAAGCGGTACAAAAAGGTACATAAAGAAAACCAACTTATCAGCCATCCAGTAAAATGCTTGCCAAGCATCTCGACTAAATTTAGTGCCTTGAAAATGCGCAATCTACCATAGCACTTAGCAGAAAACGAATTTGCAGAACAAGTTAGTTGCCACATACTCAGAGGACAATCCAAACCAAGATGTCAAAACGACTTTTACTGAGTGGTTGCCACAAAACAACCTAAACCACATCCGATGACATCCAGGGAATGGTGGGTTCTGTGGCTTCCAAACTTTAGGTTCCCAGGAGATGGCATTGAGTCACTAACCTTTCTGGTATTATGATTCGTTGGTAAGAGGGACAAGTGGATTACGGATTCATTTATTGGGTGTGAATTAAGGGATTATGTAGTCGTGGCTATCAACGCTGCGCGGCTAATTATAAATTAATTTGTCTCGTTGTACGCTCTGCCACCTGCGAACAATGTCTTACAAATTTAGATTGCCTGAATGTGCATGAGAAGCATTTGAAGGCCTTGTGGTGTGGTAGCACACAGGATGCCATGATCCAGGTGAACATATTGACGCATCTAGGCAATTAGGGTCATGATCAAAGATTTATGTTATAACCCACAATTTGGTTAGTGCTGATTTTGACTTGCTGACCCCTAAATAAAACGCAAAAGTGTCTCACGTCATCTCATGTAACCTTTCTGTGATTTTTGGTGCTTCGTTTAGAGCTGCGTGGAAGTGTAGTTCCTAGAGAGTTAAATACTTTGCTAAAGTGTTTATTTTGAACATAATATTTTGACTGGTGATGATATTCGTCGGATAGTTATTATCAATGAATACATTTTCAAGGTCCCCCTATTACGAAATAACACAAAGGTAAATATCAAACACTATCATTTAATGCGCAGTTTCTTTTTAAAAGCAGCGGGGTGTTTTTTGACGCATGATCAAATTTTTTTCAATTTGTCGTAAAAAGGATAAATTAAGAGTTTCTCCTGTTACACCCGAATGAAACTAGAATCGATTAAAAATCAATGACATCTAGCTAATTACCAGCAAGTGGCTTCAGCCAATGAAGCCTGTTTATTAGTCCTTCAGCTGTTCATCAACCCAAAATTACAATGGCTCCTGAAGGCGTGTCCAAAAAGTATTCTGGGTATTACTCCAGCTTCTACCAATTACTTAGATATGTCCACAGTGACATTTCATGGCAAATCGTTTTGCAAAGGATGGTATTAAAAGCCATTTTTGGGTGTTTGAGTCATAATGAATCTCTGATAGATAAGGCAAATGAGATGGGCCTAGGTAGTCCGTAATCGCCTCGATACATTGGACGTGTAAAAGATGGTGATTCTACACGACTTTTTAGGTGGTCATCCAAAACTGATTTACACTTTCGTGAATAACACATGCGGCAGTGAAGCATTGTGGATGCATGCTAAATCTCAATGTACGTAAATGTAAGCACAATTACTTATTTTTCGTGATTACAATGACAGGAAACTTAGATCCACTGCGAAAGCGGAACTCTTTCAGAAGTAAGGCTCGTGTCATTGAATTTTAGCAAACGCAAAATTTTACACTTGCGGCAAACTGCAATGAAAATATCCTTCATTCTTCAAATGCAGGAATCAGAGGGGAATTCGAACATTTCTGATTGATATGCCTGTGAGTTGTCTTTATTTAATTCGTTTTTTGTGTGTTATAAGGTAAAGCTAGACACAGAATCTTTATCTTGACCAATTGTAAAGCAGTAAAGCGAGCAATTTCACGTTTTTGTACACTTTGGGTATTGTTTTACTATTTTTGTAATTTCTTAACTGCTTGTTCTACTCCGTAGTATTGTGCAGCATTCAATATCGCATCAAAAGAACGGGATTATTTATGAACTCTATGTAAATAGACTGATAACCCAAGTGCGAGTTCCCTAAAAGCAGTAAGCACAAAACGGCGCGTTTACCTTTGTTTAGTTTTGCCAATATGCAAACAACGACTAACTTTTAGTCATCCATTAATTTAGTAGTGTCATAAATTCGGTGTTAAATGGGCCCTTTTTTGATTTTAAAGGTCTGCGTTGGTAAAACAAAAGTGACACGTGCATTTAGGGCATTGCTAACTTTACAGGGGATACAAAACTGCGCAACAGCAATGCTCCTGGTCAAATTATATCGCCCTTTGCCAAGTAATGAGGAAAAAACTAAAATATTATGCCCGATTTGCATGCATCAGACGGCCACGCATGCGGAAACACAAGCAGATGTATTTTTTTCCGATTTTCTCCAAATTGAGGCATACTAGCTAATGGAAAAACAGCAATGCCTCAGAGGAACTGAAGACCGTGACAGCGTGCGATTGAAAAGACGCAGTAAAATGCTCAAGGTTTCTCGAAAGGGAGGGACAAACTCACTCGGGTACAGAGAGCTTCTTCTGGATGATCGGCTTGTACCAGTCGACAGGGTCAGGTCTTCGGATACCAAACGGAACCCAAGATTTCTGATTTCTTTCATTTCAAATCGCAGGCACCCTTCTGTCTCTTTGTGCGTTAGGGATGTCAGGACATCCGCTCTTAGTTGGTAAACCTGGTTAAAAAGACCAGAATTTATCTGATATAGCGCTTTCCATAGGTATCGCCAATTAATTTCGCTGCTTTATAACCCACAGAGCATGCTATGTATTGTTGTGTTTGTAAACAAAACCCGTTTAAACAGGACCACATTTCCCTAGATTTTGTTCTGGTAAATTGATACGCCTTAACATTTCACAAAGTTTGAAATTTTACTTACAATAATGGAAGTATAATTCATCAGCTTAATTGAATCTGGCTCTAAGTAAGTTAGCTCTTTTAATTTAAATAAAAAAGTATGGTTGTTCAGAAGGAAAAGTACTGATTTGGGTTCATTTAACTGTAAATTCTTAACAGGTATTTAGCAAGCCATTTTACCATTTTAATCGAGCAAAGTGAAATCTTATCTTGGAGTCCTGTCTTATTCAAGCCATCACTCATCCGCTGGTAATCCTTTTGCAGGAACTTGGGTGGGTAAAGATGACGCTCATGCCCTTTTCAAAAGAACGTCCTAATTTTAACATTGATCGTTGTTAATGAATTGACACTGTAAGCATTTCAGTGCACCAATGTAGGACAAAAATCTTCATTCAATTTTACTCACGAATTGAATTATTGGTCACATTTATGGTTATGCAGGGAATTCTTTAGCAGAAAAAAGAAATGAAATGATTTATTCTAAAGATATTCGTTATATTTTGTAACCAAGCAAAATGCTAGTGCTTATTCGAAAAAGATGTACTCCTCTACCGTTATATTGCCAAAATTGGAATTCTTGGTACAAATGAGTCAATTGTTAAGGGACATTTTATTTAGGTTCGTACTTCGTTGAGAGTACTTGATGTTTACAACTTACGTCGATTGATGGCCTGCATCGTTCCCACCTAATATCAGTTGACAGTGTAGACTTTCCGTTTAGAGTAAGGTGACTGAATTTGTACTCTGTGGTTGCAACTACGACGGATTTGTCGCCAAGCTTTCGTCCAGCAAACTCAATTATCATCAGGTTCAAAATTATTTCCTCATCTGACTTGTTAAAAGGCATTCCACAGTCAAGTACAAAGTCTAAGACTGATGGATTCCCTTCAGAGAATCGTGGTGATCCACAAGCTGCAGTAACCGGGCCACTGGTTTGCACAAAATGGGACTTGAAACCAATCAATGCAGCTTTGACAACGTAGTTGGAGTTTTTCCACGGACGTTCCGAAGGGAGATTTGATGCGGAATAAAGATGCACTCGGACAGCTAGATTGTCCTTCCCTGTAGCATCGATGAAGACGCGATAATTTATGGTTCCACCTGGTGCTTCTGCGACTGAGAATGCTGGATCGCCTGAGAAACTTAGAGTCGGCAGAATGCAGCTGGGTGCACGGATAGTTGAGGAAACATTTCTCATGCGAGATGGAGAAGTGTGTGACGATTTGCTAACTTGAGTTCCCAAAATTGACGCCAGTTCAGAAAGGCTGGTGCCTAATTCATTCGCGACTGACTTCTGTGGAAGTGAGCACAGTGTTTTTCGGCGTGCCTTGTGAAGTGATTTTCTCCTCTCCTGCGTTTCGGGATCTACATCGGCTGCTTTTTTAGGTTCACTAGTTTGAAGGGTTGTCCAACTCTCGATTGAACTGTGGCTTTCGTTTCCAGGTGGGGAACGCAAATTATGAAGAGCAGTCGGAGCGTCGGCAAGGAAGCTGTCAGGCTGCGGTTTCACGGTTGACATGAATGCAGGAATGGGTGGAACTGTGGTCAGCCCCTCAAACCCTCTTCTGGCAATATCGTGAAGCAACGAAGTTGATCCCGACCTCTGACGCATCGCAGGAGGTGCCAGATAGCCTCCTACAGTGGTGACCTTGTTACTCGCCGCACCCATCTCTCCTATGGAACCCCGATGGACGGATGGGGCATTGGGCGAATAAAGAGAAGAAATCGATGACCTGGAAGAACTGCGGTGGGGAATAGTGGACCCATACAACTTTTCATGTTGGAAGCGAAGAGGCAAAGAATGACTCTCAGCGAACACGGAGCAGCGGTGCGTGCTGTCTCGATGACGTGTGGGCCCGCTGGGGGAGATAATTGCGAGGGCTTTAATCGTTCTGTACACGACACCCATGGGGGTCTTGTTATGGCGTCGGCGGTGAGGCCACCAGGGTGATGCAACTGCCAAGCTGGCAGCGCATATTATCGCAGCCACCGCTGCCAGCGTGACGCATATCGACAACAGCAAGGTCGTACCGCTATCCAACATTATTTTGATTTTGCCTGCACAAAGCAAACAAATTAGATCGTATAGTTATGCAAATTTATGGCACCCTTGCTATCATAATGTTGCATTTCAGCGTGTATGCTGTTCTACTGATGATGAATTTTCCTAACTACTATGGTTAATTTATAGTTCAAAGTTTCAACCTTCAAAATATGTAAATTCTTGTGTTAAGATACAATACAAAGTACCCAAGGAAGCAATGAGACTGTAACGATTGTGTGTAAGGCGTTCATTAAGTGAATACGATCTTGGTGATTTAGAGTGATGAGACGTCGGTTTAAATGAAAACTTCCGATATGCGATCTCTGATCGAAAGTCGCTACTCGTATTGAAATCAGGCGAGCCGACTTAATTTACTTTCACTCACGCCTGGTTAGAATGTTTTCGTTCTGATCACCACAAAGCCTACGCCACAAACTTATCAGAACTTAAAAAATTAAATGTTCCTAAAAAGTTACAATAGTTTAGAGGGCTTTTTACACCTTAATCTTTTCTCCCCCAAGTAATGTCATGTACGAGTGTTGAAGCCGATTTTAAAACGTCGTTCCTTTAATAGGGTCTCTACTAAAACAGATAAACAAGTAACAAGTCGCAGAGAGTTCGAGAAAAATAAGCAGTAAATGAATGACGGTCTCAATGGACATAAAAATTTGCTAAGACAAATCACGAACCACTTGCCAAGTAATAGTTTATTTCATGTGCTTGGTCGCCCCTAAATTAGGCAAGCCCTTAACTATTTTCGACATGCCTTTGAGGGGTTCATTAAATTGTGTGATTTAACTTCGCCCTTAATTAATCTCCCACGGAATCAACAGCTTGTTTTGCGAGACGAGGTAAATATGGCGGCATCCCATATGTCCCCTTTAGAAAGTGTTGTACTGATGGAAATATTTGCTACCGTTCAGTAGTTGAAAATATCAATGATCTTTAATAAATCAAATCAGCATACCCACGTTGATCAAACCTTTTTTCTATGGTTTATTTTCCGTGGATGGTTAAAGCGCTAATTCATTGCAAAAAGGCGTGCACATTTCTCGTTTGTCGACTCGATGACAGCTTCCAAGTACTCACAGAATCGTAGTCAACGATGTCACTTCTGACTTTATATTTTGCATAGATTAGTTTGGTTTCTAGTGGATCATAACGGTCAGTTTATATGTCTTTTCCTGTTGTTTTTATAGAAAGAAATTGCCTACATACAACAAGCCTGAGATGCCAGACACTGATCATTTACCAATGACCCTGAACGTTTAGTATATTTCAAAAACTAAAACACAGCTTTAAAGATTGATGGAGTGGGTTCCCTTTAGCAGCCAACATTTTACTGAGAACTTGTCACTTGAAATAGAATGAATGACTGAAATTAACTTCTGTTGTATTTCAGTTTCGCATTCAAAGGCACTAACGCCAGTTAATTATGCCAATCGCTGTAAATTGGCATGGGGGTTACAACGATCAACGTTAAACAACAACGGCGAAAAATGATCAACATTAATTCGGCTGCTCCAGTCCACATAATTAGGTGACCCTTCATAATTAAGGTAATAATTGCAGTGTTTACTTATTGTGAAGAGCACAGCTAAATCTACACGCAAAAAAATTAAATCCAGACAACAAATGCTGCCGGACACAAGTTTTATTGCCGCTTGCACAGAATAAATATTAACCAGCTTAATCACAGGATCGTTCGGTGACCATAACCCTGTCTACTATGAAATTCCCCTTTGGTTGAAAACGAATATGAAAGTTCACGAACGAATGAAGGAACTAGAGTAAATTCCTAAACCAAATGGGTTCAAGTATGATTTCGCCTCAACAAGGTTGGAAAGTTATGCTTGTAAATGCACAGGTGCCTGCTTCGCTAGGCAGTGGATCTACGGTGTACGCTTACTTCAAAGTGAACTTTTAATTTGTGTGCTTAGCAATGACTAACGTGCGTGTGTGTGGGCGAACTCTTGAAGCAAAAACAGGCAAGTCTGTGGAATAAACAAGATAGCAAATAAACTACGACAATCAAATGACAAGGCAATAGCAATTAGCATTAGATTTCTCATTCAAAGTTGGAACATGGAGACAGAAAATCAAGGCTTGTGAGAACAGCAATCTTCATTTCTAATCATACATTACAAAGAAAGTTTCGGGCTATTGTCGAAACAATGGCAGAGGTTTTGAATGGAGTGCAGCAAGTAACTGAGGACAGGTAATGTGGAAATTAACTTTTCCTGCAAATGGACATTTTAATTTTCATAGTTAATGCGTGCTAGACTACAATAAAGAAATACACGAAATTACTAGTAAATTATTGATTCTTTAAATTGAAATTAACAACAAGATGCTGAATTTAACTTTTCTGAAAGTAAAATTAGTTAAATTACATGTGGTGCAAGGCCATAAAGCTGCATTAGCTGCGCAGTTACAAATCATGCTGCTGTTTTAGTCTAGGAAATACCAACAAAGTAATGCATCGTCTAGGATCAAATTAAGCTCACCTTCCAATAAACCTATTCTATTTTATGGATAAGCCAAGGTATTTGTAGAGGAAGGAAAATATTGGCGTTGTCCAGTTAGAGATTTGAGTGACCGACAATAACTAAGACTACTACCTACCACTATCTGGTGAACATCTTTAACCACGAGTTTCATTTGAGGATAATTTAAATAACTATGTGAGAAAAAAATGCGAAATATCCTGTTTAATTGATACTTTTTGAGCGTTAACGTAATTCCTAAGTATTTGATTTATTTAAGACAAATAATGATGTTTGGGACTGTTTTATGGTTTTTAAAATGCAAAATTTAGTAAAATGGGAGTAATTCAAGAGTCTTAGGCCTGCAAAAAACCATTAATCAAGATTTCTAGATTTTATATACCAATTTAGTGGCATTCGCAACAAAATCAAAAGCCCTAATTTTAGATCAAGCAGGTAACCAAGGCTTGACTTTTGAATTT